AAACAGACAGAAGAGATTAATAAGCATAATTTAGCACCTACTTTAGTATAGACTTCATTTCAAACAGTCTCATTCACTTTGGATGTTCCAACTTTGGATATCATCAGCAGCAGACACTTCACAATAAAAACTATTAGCCAACATTCTCCTCATTTGTGAAGATTCAACCATCTTCGAAGTCATCTACATATATGCGTAATATTGAGCAGAGCCTTCTGAACTTCCGATCACCATGAGAGCAATTCTCAAATCTCCCTCTTGTCTGGATTCGAAATAAGGCTGCAAAAAATATCTGAATCAACAGATTCTGAATATGAGTGGATTGACATATTTCATAGCAATCAATATCAAAAAATTGTTAGGAATCGGACCGGGTACACGCAGCGGAAACACACTATCACACACTCACAAACGAAACGAGAAAATAAAGCAAGAAGAACACAAGGATTTTACGTGGTTCAGATTCGGTGTAAATCCTACGTCCACGGGCTGCAACTAGATTTTCTTATTAACTCAATAAGATTACAATTTATAACTCTACAAGTTATATTTGATGCACACTTTCTCTGCTACACAACACACATATATATAGCTGTATATGTGCATAAACTTCCAAATATATATTATTATATATATTGCTTTACGCCAATAAAAAAAGAGAAAAGTAAGAGTACACAAATGTTAAACAACTGTTGGAAATTGACGTTCACCAATTCTATGGCCATCTTCTTTGACCACCTTTTCCTCCACCAATTTTCTCCACCAACCAACAATCTCCCACTTGGAGAAAATAACCCAACAATTCTCCAGTAATCTTAAAACAACCAAGTCTTCCAAGCCTCCAGTTCCCAAGAACAAGCTAAACTTAGTCCAATTTTTCTAATTGCAGCCGCCCCTCATCATCATCTAGAAGGGCCAGTTGAAGTTCCCACTAGCTCCAACTCAGCCGTGGCTAATCCCACCACCGACTCATCCTCTGTCTCAACCGGTTTGGACACTCCACCAGATCCAGAGATACACCGAGGACCACTAACACTCTCCAAACATAGCAAACATCCAACAGGAGAGAATTTTTCAGTCTTAGTCTTCAAACCCAACGGCTCTTTGTAACTTTACCCGAAACACGTCCCGTGCTCCCATTGTCACCAAATCCCCTGAATGGTTTAGACTTTCGAACTCGTTCAGCTAACATCTCTTTGGCTCCAGAGTTCATGTTTCCAAAATGAACTCTCTTAGCACCAGATTTAGCGAACCAGATTTTGTCATGCTTAATCGGGACGGTCATACTTCCCTCAGCAGGTACCTCAACCATATACAATGACCCACACTTCATACCATGAGCAATCACCGAATTACCATTGACCACCCTCCATTTACCACCACCAAACCTTACTTCCAGTCCTTGTTTATCCAGCTGACCAACATAAATCAATTTCTTTTTCAGCTCCGGAATCACCCTGACATTCTTCAGGTTCCATGTAGTTCCCAATGAAGTAACCAGATCAATATCTCATATGCCCGTTACTTGAAGCATCTCGTCATTTGCCAACCGTACCTTCCCAAAATCTCCTTTTAGATTCACCATCGTTTCCCCGTTGTCCATGGCGTGAAACGAAGCCCCTGAATCCATGACCCAAGAGTCTACAGAACTTTCCATACTGAGTAACAATGCATCATCCCCAGAAAAATTCTCAGCATCAGCAATGTTCAATTCTTTCTTTGGACATTGACTCTTAACATGTCCCACTTCTTGACAGTTCCAACATTTCACATTCTTCAAAGTTCTAGAAGAACTTTTTCCCCAACTCCCACTGCTCCCACTATTCCTGCTATTCCCTCTACCTCTTCCGACATTTAATAAATCAGAAGAGGAAGATCCACCTTGATTCTTGCGTCTGATATCCTCGCCTAGAACCAAATCTCTAACCCCTTCAAAAGTCATACCACTGGTCCCCACGGAACTTGTAACAGCAGTAACTGTTCCGGACCAGCTATCAGGTAGAGAAGCTAGTAGCAGCGAAGCTTGAGTCTCATTATCAAATTTAATTCCCACAGATGATAATCTGGACATAATTGAATTTAGATTGTTAATGTGAACCGTAACTGAGCCTTCCTCATTCATCCTTGTAGTGAACAGCTCCTTCATCAAGAACACCTTGTTAGCCGCCGATGGTTTCTCATACATATTTGATAGAGCCTCCATCATACCACGCGCCGTGGTTTCATTCATGATGTTGAAAGCAACGCTCTTCGTCAACGACAATGTAATAACCGCCTTGGCTTTCTTGTCCTTTGAGTTCCACGCATCTTCAGCAGCTTTTTCCATTTTCTCCGGTTTGTCTCCGAGTACCACGTCCAAGTCTTTCTGACATAGCAATGCTTCTAATTGCATTTTCCACCAGCTAAAATCAGAACCATTGAACCTTTCGATTATAACCTTGTCTTCAGCCATTACGGCAAACAAAAAAAATAAGGTACACTCGTGTGTGACAGAAAAACGATCGTACCCTCCAAAACCTCGCTAACCAGGCTCTGATACCAGTTGTTAGGAATCGGACCGGGTACACGCAGCGGAAACACACTATCACACACTCACAAACGAAACGGGAAAATAAAGCAAGAAGAACACAAGAATTTTACGTGGTTCGGATTCGGTGTAAATCCTACGTCCACGGGCTGCAACTAGATTTTCTTATTAACTCAATAAGATTACAATTTATAACTCTACAAGTTATATTTGATGCACACTTTCTCTGCTACACAACACACATATATATAGCTGTATATGTGCATAAACTTCCAAATATATATTATTATATATATTGCTTTACGCCAATAAAAAAAGAGAAAAGTAAGAGTACACAAATGTTAAACAATTGTTGGAAATTGACGTTCACCAATTCTATGGCCATCTTCTTTGACCACCTTTTCCTCCACCAATTTTCTCCACCAACCAACAAAAATAATCTCTTTTGAATTCCCTTCGTCTTCCTTCCAAGATATCCAATCCCCCATGGATCTTTGACAATTTCACCACATTTTATACTTCTTTATATCCTTCAATACAGTACAAGGATTCTCGACTGTCTTTCCAAAGGCTTCCGCAATCTAAGCAAAGTAATACTCCATGAATCCCCTCATATATAGATATCCAATATTGTAGACATTTTGATTTATTGGTGATAAATTCATCTAATCATTTCTTCAAAAAAACCAACAACAAGCTCAAAAAGTCATTTACGTTCGTTAATAGAAAATCAACAATGATGAAATCATAAACTTCATTATCTCCCCTCATAATTTTATACCGATAGTTAGGCAAAATCCCTTCAAATATACATCCTTGGTGATATTAAGAATTTTGATAATCTTATTTGAAAACCATATTTCTTCTTTTGGTTTACCAAGAATGGCATGAAATCAGATCTTGAACTGTTTAAACTTTTCATAGTTTGTGTAATCGTTTCCGTTTAATTAATTTGAAATGGGCTTGATAAATAATAACAAGTAATTAAATAACTAAACACTAAATTTTTAGGTTTGGCAAGTAATTATTTAAATAAAAGGCAATCCCCTAATCTAATAAATAAGTACATTTTTGCCACGTGGAATTCTCCAAGCTCCTCCAAATCAATTTTTCCCGCTCAAATTTCGAAGTGATTTCCCGAAAATGCCCGTCTCGTCGTTTCTACTCACCACTCAGTAAAATCCGCACAATTCAATTTGCCTATTCTTTCGTCCCTGCACTCCAATTTTGTTCCTGAAAATCAGGAATCAATGAACAATATACTCCGTAAATAGGTATCCGATATGCTGACTTCTTATATTTCCATTTTCTCGATCTAAAACCTAGATTTCACCACAACTGGATGCGTCCTCTTCGTCCTCCACCCAGTGGCAACAAACCCCACCTTAAAAGACGTTGCTTCCTTCTCTTCTTGCCTCCTTTATCGTTACTCATGGTATGCTTCTACCTCCGTCTACGATTTACCCCCAAATTTATGATTCTCTTTTTCTTCTGACTCAAATGTGTCATCCTCGACATCAATATTGCTTTTCTTCTGCAATTTGTTGTTTATCCGGGTCAGTTCTTTAATCTGGTCTTCTTATATTTTATTGTTTGTTTAATTTTTTCTTGATTCTAAATGTGAGTATTAGTTTGATCCATCACTTAATTCTTTCTTCTTAACCTAGCGTAATAAATGATATTCAGAAAATATTGTAACGATCGTTGTTTTTCCTTATCACTCATGTGAATTCAATTATCATTCTGTCACCCCTAATCTCATAACTATTCTGATATCATTTCCTTATAATCAATAAATCGCATCATATAAGGCAACATATGACAATCAGTATACTATAATCAACAATTACAGTCTGGTCACATACCTTTGTTGAATTTGCAATCGATTCCTCTACAAAAAATCATAATCGAGGACACCAACAAGTATACCAGATTAGTAAATCAAGCTTTTTGATGTATATAATCAATTTTTTTTGTTTGACTACAACATGTGATCTGATTTCCTAATTTTGAGTCTGCCCACCAAGTGTTTGATGTAATGTGCAATGTTCTTCTTGATTTGCATAGAATCATGGTGCAATCTGAATATTTGTGTGACTGATTTCCCCCTTAGTTTCTACATATTTTACAACAAAATCAAAAATTAAAACAAAACCAAATTTAAAAGTATGCAATAAAGAGCATTGTGCTTTGAAGAATTGATTGTATATTGTTTTTGTTGTGTGATACCAGTGAGGCCGTTGACATGTTCTTGGACTTCAACATCATCAATATCAGTTCCATTTACAAATACAATGTTTGCTTTGAAAGGACTTAATTTAAGTAGAGATCTGCTAAGACAAAAGGATAAGGTTTATGGAAATTTTATTTGTAAATTAAAATTGTGCTTGCTGATGACATTGTCATATATAATAACAGATATTTGGATGTTGAAAACACACCTGATAAACTAAAATGTTAGCAAAATCTTCAGATGTGGCTGTTTTTCTGTTTGACAGATTTGCCCCTCAAGTCAATAGCATCTCATAGTCTTGGTATGTAGTATGTTTGCTTGCACATTCGATGCCCAAATGTCAAAAACAACATATTTTTGTTCCATTGGTTCTGAAAATTATCATATTGATTCTTTTTGGTTATTATAACAGATATTATTTCATTTGATCTCATGAAAACTAGAAGGTTTGACATGGAAGATAGCTTAAACTAAATGTTATATTATAACCAAGTGTCCTAAATACCTTTCATCAAATTTTATATGTGATATCGTTGATCAGTTTTGTCCTTCTGTGTATCTGGTACTACTGTAATTGAGAATTTTCCGTTAACTAAAACACCAATTAAAGAACAATAAAAACAGAAGAGTGTGTTACTACTTACACACTCAAACCGAAATATTTTATTGCCATGAGAAATTTCTAGATTTGTGTGTTTCACATTTCTGCCATATAATCTTTCTTATTTTCTGTATTTTTTAAAGAACAGTGAAATTAAACAACGTGACTTTCGAAAATATGCAGAATATAGCAATGTAGTTTATAAAATTTTGATTTTTAACAAATATGCATAATATAGCTATGTGCGACTGATTTGCCCCTTAGTCTCTACATATTTTTCAAAAAAAAAAAAAGAATCTAACGTATTCAATAATTAGCATTGTACTTTCTAATATATATATTTTTTTCTGCCATATTATCTTCCTTTTTTCGAATATATTATAAATGTATGATGTTATATTCATGTTTGTTTTTATTCATTTTCTTTTTTATTAACGTTAAATGTCCACAAAATGTTGAATTGTTAGTAGCTTCCAGACAAGTTTGGACTATTTTGCCCTTTCTTTAGTTATAAAGGTGGGTATTTTGTACTTTCATTGATTTATTTTTTAAAACATCATATTTCCCGTTGTCTCCTTTAATTTAGTTGTTTCTTCTATTCACGTTTGAAATTCTTTGAAAAAAATATTTTATTTTGCACTCAGCAATAGCGATACCCAAAAAAATGGAAAGAAGGGTTTGTTATCAAAACGGAAACAGTCACTCAGCAAGACTCTCATGGGTTGCTAGGCTTAGTGGATAATAGGTATTGATATCATGTCTCTAGGAAGGTAAGAATCAATCAAAGATTGATGAAATGAAAGAAACAACCTCTCAGTTTGATACCAATCATGAGGCTTAGGGTTGTCTTTTTTTTTTTGCCTTTTCCTTTTTACCTTTTTATCCTTTTATAATTATTACAAAGTTGAATTACTACATTATTTTCTAAGTTGGATGCCTTTAATATTTTGACAGATGTTAGTGGATAACATCTTATAATGAGGGTATTTTGGTCTTTTGATAAAAACATGAAGAATGAAATTGAATTCCTAGCGCATGTTCAGTTTCTAAATTGCAAAAAAAAAAAGTTATTTTCTATAACTAATGTCCTATATACCCTTAAATAAAGACAATATAAGGACATCTTGTGGATCTAAATTGCCATGATTGGAATAATCAATTAAGGTGTAATTTCTTTTTGTTTTTTTATTTTATAAATATTACATATTCTCCATCATATCATTTCACATTTAAGTGAGTACATTGCTATTAGAGGTAATGATATGTAAGTATGCTGCTATTATAGTTAAAAAGAAATCATAGAAATGGAAGTAGATCGCTATAATAAATTTAAATATTGATCCAGCTAAAATTATTGGGACTGATTAAGCTATACATTTTCTCTTTTTACAGGTATAAAACTGAAGTAGCTTATATAAAGATTGGATCTGGTTGACACACGACTGAGGTTGTGATCAAATCACGGGTTGCTGTTGTTCAAAGATGGTCTAAAATTTGGAATAATGTTTTTCTTTTACAATCTAAATCTCTTATATTGGTTTTAAGACAGATTTACCCCTGTTTTTAGTAATTTTAAACCACTATAAATACTTAATACTTACACCTTTATGATAATTTTTTTTTAATAAACCCGTGTACTACACGGGTCTCACACCTAGTATACATATGTAAAGGGGTTAAAGTGATAATAATAATAATAATAATAATAATAATAATAATAATAATAGAAATTTATACGTCCAAGGGGTGTTATGCAATTTTTGGAAATCAATTTTGCAAGAGAAATAAGGCCTAGGCTTTATTATGCTTGCCTGCCCAAATCCCAGGAACCATTTCTGCCAACATTCCAATTATAGTTTGTTTCTTTCCCCTACAAACCACGCAAGCTTAATGTAACACTTGTTTAATTTTGAGAAAATTATAATCCATAATGTAGCAATAGTGTAAAATATACAAGTGTGTGTTTAAAACTTAAAAGTTAAGAAATGTTATTATAAAAGTGTTAGGCCAGAAAGGGTATTTTGGTCATGTTGCGTAATTATGAGTTTGAATAGATTTCCTCATGTCATAATTGAGAAATAACCTAACTTGAGAGTGTAACCAAATTAATAAGTTCTAATTTAAAATGACTTAATGTAATAAGGAACGGGATATGGCAGACAAGGTTAAAATAAAAAAAAAATCCTATAATGAATGAGTACAGTAACCACGACGTGGTAGGAGTAGTGTCATGACGTGGTACTGAAGCAGTAATTTGGTTGACATAAAATGAATAGTGAGGGCAATGTACTTTGAAGCACCACGACGTGGTGAAGATTAGACTGACCACGACGTGGTTGAAAGTAGCTAGGATGTTATATTCTTTTGTGACGAATCTTTTAGTTACGGAACAAAAGTGTCATAAATAATGGGAAAACGATGACGTGGGGAGCTGATGCTGCGGCGACGTGGCAATGCTGTTTAGCAAAAAAAAAAAGATAAAAAGAACGGGAGTTCTTTTATCCCTCATTTTCTACACATTCTTGTTTCAGAGCGGAGAAAGTCTAAGAAAAAGGGGATTTCGATATGATTTTTAAGAAGAAAGAAGGAGAGATTAAGAAGGAGCAAGCAAAGTATTGTTTACTACTTCTAGAATCAAGAGTAAGTTTAATATGCTAACCAATTTATGAATTAGGGCAAATACGAGTTTAGGGTTTAATAACCCTAGTCATAACAATTGAATTCTATATTAAAATTATGATGAGTAGTAGAAAATAGAAGTGGTAATTACTTGATTCTAAGTGTGTAGAGTAATAACAACAATTAATTTTGTGAATTTGGGGATGAATTTCTAACCCTAGAAATTGAAGTTCGTGATTTTGCCGAATTGAGTTCATAATATGTCTATTAAAGATACAAAGATGATCAATTCTAAGTACATGAATAAATTGAGTATTTGATATTTTGTTACACATACTTGAGTATTGTGGAGCTATGTTGTAGTGTTATTGATTATGAATGCATCATAACACTTAAGAGTTGTATTATTGACTAGGTTTCGGTGAAACAACACTTGGAATGAGATCTCGTAGAATTGGAACAAGCTATTATCAACCTAATCAAGGTGAGTAGTTTAACTTTAACTCACACTATGTATTGTGTTGTATTGTTTAGAGCTATATAAATATATTTACGTTCCTATATGTGGTTACATGAATATAACAAAATGAGTATTTTAGCATGACTTATAATGGCTATAAGTCTGGTAAGTTAAAGGTATGCCAAGAGAAGGGTGCATGTGTTGTTGTAGTTATATATGAGTATTATGAAAATTTTCAAATAATATGGAGACCTCCTAATGAGTTATAGGTTGGCATTATTTTGTAGAACATTAAAGTTAAAAATGACGAAGATGATTATATGATAACGATGTGTTATGATGTGATAATGTATGGTTAAATTACTCATGAAGTTTATTCTTATTTTGTGAATGTGATTGTGGATAACAGGAAACGTAAACCAAGGAAAGGGAAAGGGAACAATTGAAAATTAGGAGTTAGTTTATATATAATTATCATCTTTTGTATAAAACTTCATGAGTCATGACAACAGATAGATCTTGGTGTAGTTTTAATATGTGTTTGTATGTATTTCCTTTTGTTTGTAGATACTTAACTAATCATGGTGGTTTGATGAATAATATTTCTAAAAATTTGGGTGTATTTTGCTTATAAAATATGAGAAAACATCTAGTTTGCTACACTTAATGCCAGCATCTTTCTTGTTTTTGTACAGTTGAATCGAGATTTCCTTGAAAGAGAAATGATCCCTGCCCATTTTACCCATTTATATACTAGCATTTTAAGGCATTAAGGTTTGGGATATGAGAGAGAGAGAGAGAGAGAGAGAGAGAGAGAGTGTATGTGAGTGGATCTGGGTGTGTTATGAATTTCGGTTCAACCCTATCATTTTCGATGACCGGTGTCATCTCTGGTCAGATCGTTGATTTTTGATGAGTTTATTTAGTCGAGAAGCTTCGATAAATTCGTTTTCAACCGAGTGGTCATTGATTTTTTCGTTATACATGGATGATCTCCGACGCCATATAAGAAGCTCTGATGGGTTTGGTCGTTTTTTTGGTAAGGTTTATATCTTCGGTGACTCTCTAGGTTGAGTTCCAGCAGTAGCGACGAGGGAGTACAACGACCTAGGTTTTCCTATTTGTTTCCGCTAATTTGACCACAAATTTGTGTGCTGATGGAAAAAGAGAGGGAGATACAAAGGAAAGATTGAGAAGGGAGACGAATATGATCATTCTGGGCTGCAAAAAAGTTTCAAAAACTGAGCTATTGGTGACCTCAGTTGAATCAATATCGGTGGCTTCCTTTCCTTGTGCACGTAACTTCTGTTTTGCATACAGGTTTTAAATCAGATTTTGGGCTCTTGATTAAATTCGCTACAAATGAAGTAATGGACTCTTAAATATAAATGAAGTAAATTGATTATGGTCTGACTAATGAGTAATTTGTATTTTTATTAAGGACTATCATGGATGAAATTTTACAAATGCTTATGGCTGAAAAGAATGAACCAATCATATTTTATACTATATAAGGGATAGGTGTGCCAACTTACTACTCTCCAATTTAGAAGAATGAAAAAAATAATTACGTAACGATTTATAGGAGAATAATCGGATTAGTAATTAAGATATGGATTTCCTATAATTTAATTTTTGTAAGTATTTTGTTAGAGTTAACATGATTAACAAGAGTGTTAGAGCCAAGATCCTCAATCCTATCCAGGATCCCGGATCTCAAAGTTATTTGGAGATCATGAAACATATGTTATTATTATTATTATTATTATTATTATTATTTCTTAACAAAATTTAACAGATATGTTTCTTGTTTATTTTCTCACATTTGCAGAATTGGTCAGCATAAAACTCATTCTCAACGAAAAAATGATTTCATCAGGCTTAAGACCCGGAAATACCAAGTCAAACCAACGTGTTGATACTTATTCAAGAGGATTTCGGAAATATCGGACTTCTAGTTACTTAGACTAGACTATAAATACACATGTAATATCCACACTACACACAACTAGATTCACTGCAAAAATTTTACTCGTAAACTTACCTCCATATCTGTAACTCAAATTTCAATCAATATAATTAAAGAAGGCAGGTTATTATTATCACATCCCAATCTTTTGTGTCGGGGATCCTAAAATGGATCAAGGGATTTCCTTGTAAACCACTTGTGTGATTTTGTTCTCAATTCAATACCTACTTCAACTAAGAACATCATATGCCTCTCATACAATTTGGTTGAATAAAACTTGATTGATTTTTAGCAAAACAATTTTGTGCCCACCATGGGGTTGTGGTGTTTGTAATCCTCGAAAATCATGTCTACACAGCCGACCCTTTCTTCTTCCTCTGTTCCTTCTATTCATTCAAAAAGTCTTCCACCCCTCCAAGTGACTCCCTCGTCAAAGGAACGCTCCTAATATACCGAAGAAGAATACCCCTCTAGTTGTTCCTGTTGAGAGAAAAACTTTTGAGAAACACTTGAACAAACGTTATTACAAGGTAATGGTTGCGGAATAAGTTAATCTCAAAGGATCATGTAAGCTCAACAATAATAAGTTAGAGTTGTTAGATAGTTAGTTGAGGAAATATAAAGTGCTGAAAAGTAAAAGAAATGTAAATGACAACAAGTTATATCAAGTATACACTAAACTCATTCATAACGAGGTTTGCATTCAAACACAAGTTAGTATGTGTGATCAGTTTAAATTGAAGAGGATCTCGAATATTAGATAAGATAAAATAGTGATATGAGAGAATGATCATAGTATTTCAGATTGAATGTTCAGAAAGATCGTTAAGTGTGGTGAGATTACATGAAGACGAAGAGTATATTTATAGAATCTCAAAAAGTTACATCTTGAATAAAAAATAATAAACTATTGACTTAAGTGACCATGCAATGTTCACTGGACAAAGTAAAGCTAACATGCTAAGCCAATTGATGTAACAAAAAGGTCTTCACTGCGATAGTCGTAGTTGCGGTTCACTCTGATTTCAGAATAACTTCTTTATCTTCAAACTACGGTAGGCACACATCATTGCAGTGGTAACATTAGTTGCGGTTGACAAAAAATACGATTGCGGATCCTTTTAGTTTAAGAGGATCACTTTATCTAACAACATTTTCCCCCAAAGTGACCTCTTCAACTTTCTTCTTCACTTATCAAGTTCCAGAAATTTGATGAGGATCTACCAGAACTTCCTCACTTCGCCTAGCCAGTGAATTCTTCTTGTTATCTCAAACTTTACTTCTTCCATTGTGTTCTTGGATCTTTGAACCGAAGCCAGAGTCACTTCTAGTTGCCTCCGGGTCAATCTGTGCATTGCAGTAATAGGAATGAAGTATTTGAGATCACTGTTGGCTCTTTTGTACACAACTCCTAATTTCGGGAAGTTGGTTGCACGAGAGACATTTCTTGGTAGCCTTCGGTGAAGGTTGATGCAGGCTCAAACTCTGGAAAGTTGAACTTCGGGGCTAGAACAAGATGAATTTCGGCATCTATTTTGCCAAAATCACAGACTAATGCCTCAAGAAACCCACAAGCTTTTTCACAGGCGATCTTCATCTTCGGATGTTTTTTAGCCTTGATCTGCAATACTCTAGCAATCAGGAACACTTATTCGGGGTTCATGCAGGGAAATTCAGCCTATGTCCTGATGTTGTCATCTCCTCTCCTAGTGAGTGTATACTGAACACAATCAGTCTTCATGAACTTTCTCACTTTGTAATTTTTCACCCCTGATGGTCTATCATTAGACTAGATCTTTTCGAAGTCAGTCCCATGCTTGGCATGAAACTGGTTTAGGCGTTCGAATTTGATGGGGAGTCATTGATCATCTGGAAGGCTTGGATCAAAAGGCTCAAAGACGGGGAATAATTTGGAGTTGGGAGAGATTGGAACATCCCAATATCCATCGGATGGAGGTTCAGCATAAGTCAGGATGGGTCTGTAATCATCATTGCGGAGCCTTCGGGTGGGATTGACCTAAGAGTTGATTAGGGACTCATCCATGGTTGTATCAAAACCATGTTCTCTCCAAATCTGTTCAACAAATTTTACGGACCTCTAGTCTTTTTTCCTTTGTCGAGTGACCGGTGAGTCATTTGAGTGATCCGATGACATTGTTGGTTCTAAGTTTCTAAATTGCAGGGGAGTCTGATGAGGAGATTGTTGCGGATCCCGTTGCGGCGGGGTTTGATGTGGAGATGGCACCGAAGTTGCATGTTTAGGAGATGGTTGCGGTGAACGTTGTGGAGTTGGAATCCTTTGATGAATTGGTTGATGAAGTGGGATTATTGGAGGAGTTTGATGTGAATAGCCTTGATGAAAATGCGGATGAGAATGCGGAGAGGACTCACTTCCTCATTTTGAGGAAGAAACAATTTGTTGCTCCTCTAACCATTGTCTCAGTCCATCAATCTTTGAAAAAGCTTCATTGAATTGGGACTTCATTGCATCACCCAACTGTTGGTTGTTGGGTATTTCTTTGTTGAACAGAAGTTGATGAATTTCCTTGGTGAGTTTGAGAATCTCATCTGCATGTGAGTTGGTAGAGAGTGAACGCCTTAAGTTGTTGATGGTTGATTGGAGAACCGCAATGGTGGATTCGTAGGCATTGTGAGTTTCTTCTACAACTTGGTTGGAATGAATCGCTTGATTGTCAAGAGTTATTTTGAGTTCATTGTTGAATGCGGTGACCTCTTTGACTAGGTTTTCAGCAGTTGCCATAAACTGCTTGTGGTCATCAGTACGACTATTGTCCAAAGCTCGAATTCCCATTTCAACTTTTAGAGTTATGCGTTCTGCGGCCAGTCGTTCTCTTGTTTCAAGTCTTTCCACCCTTTTAGCAAGTGACTGCGGTGTGGTAGTCTCTGCGTTCTGCGATTGGTTGGTGGTGACTGCAGCCAAGATTTGGTCGACTTTGGATTGAAGGCTAAGGAATTCCTTTCTTGAGACAGGCAGCTTCTTCTTCTTCTTTGCGATGGGTTTTGAAGTGGAGCGTTGGGATCCACTTGAATCTTCATCGTCAAATACCATCAAAAATTCTTCTGAGTTGGGGGGTTGCTGAACATCATCAAGATCAATATCGTCAAGTCCAAACATTGGACCTGAGCTGATTTCAACTGCGGTTCCATCGTCATTAGAGTCATGATTTTCATCAGTTGGAGGAGGCTTTGATGGACCAGCACCATCTTGTAGATTTTGAGCTTGTTGAACTATTGTTTCCATTTTGGACATCCATTCTTGAATCTTCAAGATGTCGTGAATAGTTTTGGCATTGTTGAAGGAATTTTCCCAATACTTAGCAACTATGAGAAGATCATTCTCCTTTTGTTGTTGTTGCTGGAATTGCTGACTTTTCCTGGCTTTGAATGCTCTCTGAAAAGCTTCAAATTTTCTGATTCCGGACTCAGTACTTGGATGATACCGAGTCCAAGAATCGTCATATTGATATTCGTCAAATCCTTGGTTTCGCACCGAGGTGTCCCTCGGGTTCGTGGTTCCTTGCATTGTTGTGCTCCCCACACTTAGACTACTTGTGAGTAATAGTGGTGGAATAGGATTTCCTGAGCTTCCTCGGTCTCCTTGACCTAAAGTCAAGTCTGGCCTCGACTCAATTCTGGAAAAGGTGGAAGAAATGCCTTGCGGTGCGACTTGTGTTTGAAGTGTTTGTGCGATACGAAGGAAAATGGAGTTAAACTCCTCAGGCTCAAAGTAGTGCAAGTGTGATGCCCTGGAGACCTTAGGGTGACTCGTCACAACTGGGTCCACTTGGGACTCAATTGGAGGTGTGTCTCCATGAAGTGATGAAGCAGATACACTTATTGTATCTGAGTGGTGAGTTTGGGTATTAGCCGGTGAGCCTGCGGTAGCTCCAATGACTACCAGAGTCTTTTGGGAGACTGTGGTATGAGTCGGGTTATGCATTTGGCCTTGACTTGGGGTTAACTTTAGTTTCTTCCGTCTGAACACATCTCTGGAGGCTGAAGACTCATGATGAGTTTCATGTTCAACATTGACTTCGGGATCCTGAGTTTTGGTGGGAGTGTGATGAATCACAGCAGATGATTGCGGTTTTGGACTTACGTTTCTTGGAAAGTTCGCCTCCCTTTTTGACAATATTTCGTGGTGCTTTCCTTGAAGTCACAGTTTGCTTGACTCGTTTAAGTTTGGGTTGGACTATCTGATCTGCGGTAGAAGTGGGTACCATTGTTGCGGTAGGGATTGCGGTATGGAATGCGGTACTTGGAGGAACTTGTGTTGCTGTAAGGGTTGCGGTAGTCTGACTTGGTCTATGCGGGGAAGAGTGGTATGGGTCAATACCACTCGTAGCCATGATATGGTCAGCTACGTCAGGAGTTGTGAGTCCAATGGACTCCAAAATATATCTAGGCAATCTCCTATGGGGTCCAAAAATAGTTTGATCTTTTGAGGGTGTGTACCTTTTCAGATCGCGAGTTGCAAATAGGGTTGAGTCATCGCCCATGTCGAGCTTGGCATCCTTGTGCAAATCCAAGATGCATAGCGACCAGAAAGGAGCAAAGGTGAGCTCAGTTGCGTCTTCTCTTGGAGCTTCCTTGGGAATGTACTGCAAGAAGTCATCCAACAGAATTTGACCATAATTCACAACATTACCGATGTGAATGCTCCAAACCAGTTCCATGAGCTTGATTCCCATATTGTCTGTTCCACCCGTTCTGCCAGAGAGACTTCTGATTATAAAGTGACAGACAAACTGCCATACTGCCGGAAGTTGGTTTTTCTTGAACTCTCTGATTCCTTTCAGTTTCTTCTGGTAACCTATCCGGTACAAGGTTGGAATCACATCATTTGAGCTTGGTGAGTAGAATTTTGTAGAAGAAAGAACCCTCAGATTGATTGCTTCTAGAAATTTGTTCTTGGTTAGAACAGCCAGTGAATCTTCCACAAGGTTGAGATACACTTCTTGAAGGTTGTGGCTTGGACGGAAAGCAGAAAAAGCACACTTGAATAGAGTAGGCAATGGAACTACTTCCATGAAAGAGTTGAATGCACCAAACAGTGGGTGTTTGGGAAGGAAGTTGATCATCAATCTGATAGCCTCAATATATG